TTTTATATACCGTTTTTTCTATATAATTTATTATTTTTTTATAATTTGCGTTTTTTTATATAATTAATTAATTTGTCTTGAATGATCCGTCTATTGGATACCTTTTATGATAACGCCTCAAAACATTATTCACCAAATCTACTAGTATCCACCTCCAAAATCGGACGACTTGACTGATTCCGTGTTAATTATATGTTTGCGTGGAAAAACGAGTAGTTCTCGCGTATGTTCCAGTCTTGATGTTACAATACAATCATTTGAAAGCTCGACTATTCGTTCGGTTTCCGCGTACCAATTGCAGATACGGTCGACTCGATGTCGTTGTTCTGATTAGTGCTTGCAAAAATATTTTGGCGGTTCGAGATGACTGGGACATTTCATTTTTTGATCTGCAACAGAATTTCCGTGAGTCTTTACATTTAATACTTGTGTATACAATTAATAAAGACAATTCACTCACTTGTCGCACATTCTCCAGAGTTTTGACGGAATAGGCTTATAGTTAGACAGTCGCGGTGGTTCAATTTTGTAATTTCCTCTCATTGATCGACGTATTCGCGTGCTTTTTGCACCGCTTCTTCTCGGTCTTTTCTTTTATAGATGTATTAATACTGGTAATAAGTTGTAAATGTGTTGATTCTGAGAGAAAGGTTTGTCAAGTAAAAACCGTTGTATCAGGACGAACTGTTTCTCCGTGTTCTCCACGAACACTTTCTGAATAATTTGTTTCGTTTTCTACTTCATTTTTCGATTCTTTCTTCTTTCTTCTTGTTTCATCGAGACTGAAAATGAGGGAAGTGATAGTTTTGTTGAATTTGTCTTGTCGCAATTGAGCGTATTTTGTCATCTTGTAATTTCAAAGCTCTCGTTTCTTTTTGGTAAACACTAACAAGAGAAAAAGTGTAAGGAGATTTCGCTTGATCATAATGCTTCCAGACCGTCGTTGTTTTTTTCTGGAGACAGCACGATTCTGTATTTTTCCTCGGTATTCCCAGTTCGGCTATCTTTGATGCTGCTTTTCCTAGTTTATTATGATTTCGTTTTTCAAGATTTACCGAACCGACTTTGATCCTTGGAGTTTTGAATTCGTGCTCAACATCCTCCACTTCAAGTTGACGCCCGTCTTCATCTACGTTTTGGAGTACTTCATATCGGGACATTTTTTATGTTTAGAGAACCTCCAAATTTTTTTATTCCCGATTACTCTTTTTTATTTTTTTGCTAACTTCTCAAATTTGCCGACCACCAAAGGCTATCGGAATAGCATAGCAAAAGTTAGCAATAGGTTTTTCATCAAAGGCTTTTCCCAATAATTTATCAGTGTTCCAGCAATAGTTAACAATCCAAACCTTTTTAAAGTCTCTTTAAAAGTTTCGTATACGGATAATAGCGAGGAATTCTGTAAAACGAACACTCTCTTTGTAACGAAGTCTAAGTAATATTCGGTATATCGAGGCTTTCGTAAGCAATATTTACAAGTTGCAAAATATACAGGAAGAAAGAATCTATTCTAGATTGCTTTTTGCTTGTAACATTATGTAATTCCACCTTCTTTTTCAATGAACGAAAGACTTTTGAGCTCATTCTAAATTAAATTCTTTCTTTTCTATCATGGCTTGACAATTATTTAGAACTTTTTGAACTAGTTTTAAAGCGGTTATGGCATCTTTAGTCAAGACAGTGGGAAGACATGGCGTTGTTTACCACAACGTATGACAAATTTTATAAAAATACTACAACCAATCACCATGCTAAAGTTTTGTGTCACGTGATAAACTTCGTTATAAAGCGACTAGTACAATACTGCAATATACAAAAATCCTGCAACCGAACTTCGGTAACGGAATAACGAGGACAATCAAACTTGCTTCGGTATAACAAAAATTCGTTATAACGCATTTCGTTATAACGGGCTGTACTGATAAAGATATAAGCCACAAAATCACGTGATATTTTGTCACATCCCCACCTACCCAGACTTAACATTTTATTATGCAATACTAATACCGAAAACTCACTCGACCACCAATTGAACAGACAGACGACGATCATACACACGGTGTGGGATGGAATGACGAAACAATCGAAAGACTTGGGCTGAATTTTCAGTAAGACATTTGATAGAAGCGAGAAAGAGACGCGAATTATGTGAGACTTGTTGCTTAATACGTTTCGCGTT